TGAAGCACTTTAATTTTATAGCGCTGTATTTATCAACCAGAGTCTGGTGGAGGTTCAGGCGGAAGTGGGGGTTTAATCTTCACATTCTGCTGAAAACCTTGTTGATAACACATAAATGGGTAATATCCATAATATCCAGTTGAATACATTCCATATGGGTTTTAATATGGATTCTGCATGAACATATTTGCATAATCCATTGGTTATGCTTTGGCCGCTTGTGTGGGTATAGAAGGGGTTTCAGACTTGGATGTTGAAACTACATTTTGGATTTTTTTGGGAGGTTCTTCATCAGATTTGTCTTCATACATTAATGTTTTTTATCTGATATCTTGCAAGTGTTTTTTTTTGGAACGATTAATAAAAATTTATGAAAAATCTTCTTCGTCAAGGCTTTGTGGATGATTGTGAATTTCATTATTATAAAAGTCCTTCAAATGAATGACATCCCTCATCAACACATTGCTATTAATGTACTTTTTTTGTTTGTTTGTCTGAGTCTTTCCTTTATTACACCAATGAATGAGGATACGGCTTTTTCCTGAAATGAAGTTAACCGAGCTATTTCCCCTGACATCTCATCGATCTCTTTGTCTGCATGTTTAATGTCTTTGTCTATTTGTTTACATTACACTTTATATTCTGCGTGCTTGTCTTTTTGGTCGCAGTCTTTCCAGAAATTATATACTGGGAGTGTGCAGGGTTCCCCCCCCCCCCTATTTCCATCGGCTTTGTGGCCCTTCATGTGACAGTTGCTACATCTTATAGATTTCAATGGCCCTATTGGGTCTGGGTCATTCACTATTAGGTCTATCTGCCTTCTTTTATGGACGAAATCAGCTTTTTATTTTTCTTTCATTTGCAAGTTTTTTAGCAATTTTTTCTTTAATTTTATCCATGTTATTTCTTTAACTAGAAGAATTTTCAGGGGAAGCAATAGAGATCTCATTTTTTTCTGAACAAGTAACTGACTCTAAGTTTTTTAGAGCATATTGTAATTTCCTTTTGTGTCCAATGGTAGTGGATTATTATCAAACATATAGTCTAAGTCATTTTCAATGTTCATGGCGCGAAATAAACTGCTATCGCAAAATTCATTTTCCATAAAAGTTTGCTAGTATTTCAGAAATTCTGGTCCCAATTGTTGCAACAATTCACTCGCAGACATATCCATTCTTACAGTTTGAAAAATAAATTTGTAATAAAGATGAGTACCAAAAACACCTGGTTTGTTGGTCACTGGGAATATCTATTTTTTTAGTGAAGAGGGGTCAGAAATGGTAGCTTGTTATACATTTCAGTTGCAGGATTTTTTTTGTATTTTGAATTCACTAAAATTGACTTCAATAATTTTTATTTACCAAAATTTTTAATATTTCCAGGATAATATAAATTAAAAAGACAAACAAAAATGAAATTCTGTATAACTTTTTTTTCCGCAAACTATAGTAGAATAACTCATTCTGGACTTCAGGTGAAAAGCAAGGTGTCAGTTTTATTGTTACAGAGCCAATTCTGTTGTAAGAAAAAAGAGACAGGTATTTAAAAATCATAGGCCATTACAGTTCATTTATTGGAACAAAGGATGATGATTTCACAATCAAACAGATTCAAAAAGGAATCAAACTTGATGAAAAAGATCAATTACAAATACATCATTTAAAGGAAAGTGGTAAAAGAATATCTGAAATAGCTAGGAAAACTGGAATAAGTATACCTTCAGTCAAAAAGTATTTTTATAATGATGAACCAATAAAAAGACCTAGAGAATACTCCAGACCAATTATGACTTATGATGTAATAGAGTGTATTGCATTTTTTGTAGAAAACTGTCCGTCAATTCAAATTAGAGAAATCCAAAAAAAGTTATTAGATACTGGTGTTTGTACATTAGAAACTTGTCCAACTGAATCTTCAATATGCAGAACCTTAAAAAATGACCTTTTATTATCTCGCAAGAAAGTTAGATCTGTTGCAAAGGAATCACAAACACTGAATGTAGAAACTAGTTTTGATGATTACATAAATATTATATCTACAACAAATTCTTTCAACTTGCATTTTTTTTTTATGAAAGTACATTTTTGAAAAACTCTAGTGACAGGAAATACGGGTATTCATTGTATGGACATGATGCAATAGAAATACAACGGTTTGCATCTGATGCTACACTGACACTTAATTTATTACACAGTAGAACTGGAATAGACTATTTCAATCTAGTTGAAGGCCCATCTTACAGTTTGCAGCTATTAAACTTTTTTTGTGATGTTTTAACCACGGGTTATATGGTGCACCTATATTAAGTCCTGGTGGTGTTGTTATTATGGATAACTGTAGATTTCATCACGCTAGACTAATTAAAAAAGATCTTGAGTATTTGTTTGCAAATAACGGTGTAACTTTGATTTATCAGCCACCATACCATCCAGAATTAAATATTTGCGAGTACTGTTTTAAACTAATCAAAGATGGAATTAAAAGAGAAAATCATTTTTTATGAATATCATATGGAACTTGCAATAGCTGACTCTGTATTAGATAGCATTAACCAATCTTTATCTGAAAGAATTTTCCAACATTGTAGATATATCCGTTGATCAAGGAAGGTTATGTCTCTTGATTTGATGTATAAAGAATAAAGAATATGAAACAAATAAAAAGTTGTCCCTTTTTTTGTTGATGTTTGTCTTTGATATGGAGAAACAGTTTCATAAATTGTTTTAAGTAGTTGAATATTATAGTAATGAAGAAATAATCTGCGGTACTCTGATATTACTTGCATACATGTATCATAAGATTGTTGTCTAAAGTACAAAAATGTACATCCATCCCATGTTCTTTTCTCATATCATAGTTTTTTAATTTAGACACTAACTTTGATGCATTAGTGGAGATCCCACCTATGAAATCGGCACTGTTTTTATAGTTTCAAATGGGTCAGGAAAAAAAATATTTGTTAATAGATCATGTACTATTAAATTTCATTTACATTATTATTGTCATCATTATTATTGTTATTGGAATAAATGAGTCTTTTTTTTTAAATATCAAATAATATTTTCCTGAAAACTTGCTGTTTTCATCTAAAAATCAACAATAGTCAGTTTAATGTTAGAACAAATTTAACCACTGAACAGGTGAAGTCACTTCATGGACTTTCATAGGTAAATCCATCAAGGTAGATTATTATAGATTCAGTGAGACTTAAATCTGGCAACTGGTCAATTTAAATGTCCAAATAGTATTGTCAATTTTACAATCTGGTTGAACGATAGGTAAAGGTAAACAGCAACACCTATAGTCACAGTAAGACAAAAATGAAAAAGATATCTACAACAATAGATAGGTGTCTATACAATAAGTAAAGTTCAAGATAGCCCTGAGTCTAAACAGTTGTGAAATGGAAAAAATAACAAGATACTATCAAAGATCTGTCATCATCACCAAAACATAAAGATATAACAAAAGACAACCACTGACGAGATTCTGAACATGAAACACGCATGCGTACATGCACCGGGTTGACATCTATTTGAGGGCTCCAGGAATCCATGGGTGACATTTTGCAATACAAGATTTCTGTTCCTATCTGACAGACCATACCTCCTTTTTCCTAATATCAGTCCAAATTTCTCGTCCTTTATCTCGGTCAACGTATTTTGTAGAGCCTACCTATTTTTTGGATTATTAAATTGTTTTCGTCCTGAATATGCAAGACACGTTTTTCATCGGATATTAAGCCAACATTTAGCAATCAATAAATTCTTAATTGTTATACCGGTGACTTAACTTTGGAGTAGATTGCACACCACAAAGTCTTCAAACATAATAGGAAGACATTGTCTAGTGAATTACCTGGAATAATTTACGAAATCTTAATGTAAAATATGAGAAACAAAATATGTTTGCTCCTGACTGTAAATAAGCTAAATGATGTTCACCGCTGGCAAATATCAGTCGCAATAGTAAATAATAAGATAAACAAAATGTGTATAATTAAGTCTTATAAGCCACATAGATTGATATACAGATTTTTTTCTTACCTTCTTACTAGATTAAGATATAGTATTATCATAAAACGTTAGATGTAAAATATAACTCTTTGTGATATTCTTGCAACCATTTCCATAGAGGTTAGATTTAACGATCATTAAAATCTGAAACGTCACTGCAAACATGTCATATCTCTTATAGCGTTTTCTCACAGTTTGTTAGGGGACAGTTAGATATGTAAGTCTCATAAGAAAACATGGTTTTTTTTTCAATACCATGCTGATTCAGATGTTATTCCTCATAGGAAGTAAACTGTGTCTTTAAAATCGGAAAATAAGCATATAATAAGAAGTCATCAATAATTTGATAAGTCAGACGCGCTTTTTTGTCTACATAAGATTCGTGAGTGGCTCTCGAATCAAAGCAGTTGGATAACCAAATCAAATTTGTTTAAAAGAATGATACAAAAAAAACACAGAAAAGATGTACCGAATACGGCAATAAGCAATTCAGCAATAACTCTACACATATTTAATATACAAATAAAAACAATGTTTTGGAAATTGACATCGCTTATGTTTCAAATGACACAACCGCAATCCCGTCCTCTTTTCCCTGATTGTGACATCATCTAACACGACTTATTGTCGTATTTTACTTTCCATGAGCAACACGATATGTGCAATCAGTAGATTATGAACTGCTAACACTTTTAGGCACCCTAGTTCATCCCTATTTTGTGCATTTCCAAAATGAATGCTTTAAATGGGATTCTAATTTTCGCTTTGGACGGACATAATTGACAATTTTTATTTCGACCGTTATTTTGGTTACCAAAATGGAACCATTATTTACCTTTTTTGTTAAAAGCATTTTTTTTAATACGTTTTAAATTCATTGTAACATACTCCATTTATACCAACAAACCTATGAACTGTTTTCTGTTTTTCCGACTCGACAAGCATTAAAGACCAATCGTATTGATAAAGTTAAATACATCTTACCTTGTGTCTTAATAAGAAAAGGTGCACACTTTTGTGACAAGTTAAATGGTGCTTTAACATTAATATCAAGAATACTTTCTAATATTTCCGGTGTTGTTTCCATCATCTTTTTATAATTACCGCTACCAGCATTGTTCACCTACATACCAAAATCAAGAAACGTTTGTGACTATCTAAAAAGATTCGTTACAACTTTAATGACTAAATGCTGTATAAACACATATTTGACCAGCGTAAAACATTGTTGTCAATGTCTGTTTAGAAAGATTTATTACAGTTGTAAAAACTAAATTTATTTTAAAGTAGTGATTGAAAGATCCGAGCAAGACTTAATTATTCAGATGATATTTTAATAATGCCTAACATTTATACAATTGGTATCGCCGTAGCGACGTTACGTAATAAGTTAATGTCCTGAAGGTTTGTGCGGTACCTTCCCGGAATAAATGAAGATATTACATTCCCCCTTAACTTTGAATTAGAAAAAAAATTATATAAATGTAAATTAAAATATAAAACTAAGTTTGTATACAATATACATCAATTAAATTATCACAGTCTTTGTACTGTTCTTTTTGTAATGTTCACTTATATTTTTGTTATAAAATAGAGTGCACATTCTTTCTTATGTTGTAATAGAATAGAGTTCACATTCTTTCATTTTAGCCAGCAATCACATAACATAATCTCTAAAATGTTGCGGTGCGCGTCTGTCTCCTTTTGATCTATAATCTAGTTCTTCTGGTTGGGTTTCCTGATTTTTATTACTTCTATTAATGTCCATCAGTTGATTATCATGAGGTGTTTCTCTGGTTTTCCAAAGTCTCTTTATCCGCCCCCTCCCGTGCCTGTCTTGCAGGTGGAGGGGGTGATTTGTCGTCATCTTCTTGTTTCTGTTCTGAATATACTTTTTAATTTTCTCCTTGTATCGTCTATCTCTTTAATTTATCTCATCATATAAATTTTCATCCTTGTCAGTTGCTCTCGGTATATACTCTAATCTCGTCCTAATAGGTCTGATCATTTCAGCTTTATACGGTGATATTCTTGTAGGTGTTGAACTGTTACTCATAAACATTTCCTGTATAGCTGTTGCACTGTCTTTCTTTTGTAGATTTTCTTTTCGTTCTGATCTGTTGATGAGTTTCATTTTTCCTCTGTCCTGTTCTGTAACTTTCATTACATATTTCTTTAAATCTTGTATCCTCAAGTGGTTTGTTTTTGTAAAAGACCCATCAGCTCTAATTTTTAACATCCCTTACTCAATAAGAGTTGTGATTTACTTATCAATGGTGGAGAATTGATTTTTCCTTCAACAACAATGAATTTTGTTTCTGTGCCACATGTTTCATTTCTTATTACGGTCGTAAATTCTCCCTTTATTGCTAGTGAATTTTGCAGTGTACTTAACTTGATTGTGTTCCTTTCTAACATTGGATTTCCGTATGCTCTTTTCTGAAACTTTAAGAATTGATTCTCATCCATCATATTCACGTCTGCTCCACTATCTGGTTCCACCTTAACATCCATATCATCAATTCTAACTGTCAGTATTTTTTCAATATCTTTTGTTCCATGAATGGTCTTCACTTTGAGTTTTTTCATTAAGTGCTTGCTAGTTTCTCCAAAATAATCTTCATCTTCTTCATAGTCTGATTTGTCTGTATTTGAATCGGTTTCATTTGTATCTTCTGTTGTTTTCTTCACATTTCTTCTGTTTCTATAGTTGCTGATTACTAGTATCATATTCTACTTCGTTTCTCTTTTCTATTCTGCATACTGAAGAAAAATGATTATATAGTCCACAATCTCTACATTGTTTACCATATGCTGGAAATCTTCTCTCCTCACCATGATCAAATCCACAACAACTACAATCAGCCTTTGTTGTCATATTTCTATCATTTCTATAACTTTGTGGAAATATATCATGTTTAAATTCCTGTGCGCTGTTGTATTATCTGTATTTGATTTGCTGAACGCATGCTGTGACTTCCGAATTCCATGTCCTTCATCTGTAAATAAATGTCTTCCCGCTTCTTCAACAAACTTTTCTAGATTCCAACCTTTACTTATAGCCCTCTTTATCTATTCCTGATTGGTTATGGTTTGTATGCAATGTTCCAGGATTCTTTCTTCACATGTAGCTTCAAATTCACACTCATGTGCCTTTTCTCTGATTCTCATTACATATGTTACTGTATTTTCGTCTCTTAACTGCTTCATTTTTAAGAATAAATACCTGGCATGATGTGTGTTCCTTTTTGATAAATAATACTTATTTAATTTGTTCTTTAATATTTTATACTCATATTCTCCTTCTTCATTTCTTGAGCTTCTTTCCAATCTTGATATGTCTTTCCCTCCATAAATGATTAGTGCATCCTTTTTATCTTCAGGTTCAGTTATCCTAAAATATCGAAATTCTCTCTCTATTCTCTCAAGCCATTCCTCCCATTGCTTTCCTGTGGATATTTGATCTTCAGACGGTATAAATGATTGTGAGCGTAAATTCTTGGTTTTTTTGTAACTATCGTTATTCTCTGGGCTCTTCTCGATCCATAATCTCTGTTTTAGCGTTATCTTCCTTTCGATTCTCTTTTTTAGCGTGATCTTTTTTTAATTCTCTGTTCCATTAACTTTTCTTCTTTGTTTACACTGCTAATGTCTGCGAATTTCTTTGTTTTTATCCTCGCCATTGAAAGATCCGAGCGAGACTTGATTATTCAGATGGTATTTTAATAATGACTAACAAATATACAATTGGTATCGTCGTAGCGACGTAACGTTATAATTTAATGTCCCGAAGGATTATGCGGTACGTTCCCGGAATAAATGAAGATATAACAGTGATTGGTTGGAAAGATGAAAGGAAGATATGCATCTGCGCTGTAGCGAATATTATGTAAAATTTGTGATAGTCAAGAGTCACTGATCATTTTTGACAAATGATTTGTGTTCACGTGTCCGGAGTCACCGTCGAATCTTACACCTTTAAAAAAATGTGAGTTTTGCAGTGACAAACAATTTTCACGGATTAGCTAAAGTAAAATAAGGAAGAATTGATTGATTGATTGTTGATTGCTTAACTTCCAGTGGCAAATATCTCATGCGTGTTTATAAAGAAAAAAAGAAGAAGATACGAATGGCGTTATAGAAGACTTGTGACATATGCAGTGAATATTTCTATATTAGATGTTACAAAACAAGTCACCTTTACTTTATTAAACGTTTGGGCATGGGTACACTAGAGTAATTGAAGAATTGTGCCACCCGCAGTCACTTTCAAACATACAATGTGATAAAATTACCTCTTTATGTGCCTATTACAAGTCAGGAGACAGAAATTCAGTGGTTGTCTTTGTTGCTGTCTATTATATCTTTTTTTTTCTGTTATTGTTTTATTTTAAATCAGGCCGGTGTTTTTTGTTTGAATTGTTTAATATTTTGTTATTTCGGGCCTTTATAGCTGACTATACAGTATGGGGTTTGCTCATTGTTGTAGGCCATACGATGATCTATAAATTCTTGAATCGGTATTGTTTTTATTCTGTTTGATAATTGTCTCTTTATTTTATATCGATAAGAGCGACTATTAAATTGAACCCATCCCTTTAGATTTTAGTATTTCATCAAATAAGTTCGAACAATTATACAAATAAATTAAAACACCTGCTGAGAATTGTCAAATATCCAGTTCATTCTTACCAAGGCATCAATCTGTCCAAATGTAGATAGGGTTTTATGTATCAGCTGATCTAAATCGTCTTGCTTAACAACATCGCATCTTATAACTATGATCTGAAAATTTAACAAAGAAATTGAAGTTAGATTAATATAAATGACGCCAAAAGTGTTAAGTTAAATATATGAATATGGGACTTCAAAATTTTAAAAGACAGATGCTAAATTGTTCTCCAGGATATCTGTTCCAACATATATAACAAAAGAGAGGCGAAAGATACCAAAGGGACAATCAAACTCATAAGTCGAAAATAAACTGACAATGCCATGGCTAAAAAGAAAAAGACGAACAGACAAACAACTGTACACAAAACACAACTTAGAAAACTAAGGACTGAGCAACATGAACTCCACCAAAAATTTGCAGGTGATCTCAGGTGCTCCAGGAGGGTAGGAAGATCCTTCTCCACATGTGGCACCTGTCGTGTGGCTCATGTTAGTACAAACCCGGTGATAAGTCTAATTTGGATGGTCACATTCAGGGAAAAGGGGACGGCATTGTAGTTACGACAATTGGAACACATCCGTTTTCATTTGTGAAACGGATATTCCATAACAGTCAACCAACTCGTGATGGCGTCCGTAAAATTTACGAAGGAATGATTTCATCATCACCACTTGGAACTCTTGGTTTAATAGCTTCTTAGTGAGCAACAACCATCGTATAATGAAATCATGATAGGAAATACAAGCCCTAGAATACTAGTATCGTATCAACTGGAAGATATATACTCCGTATGCAGGCGCTGCTGGAATGTTGTGCGTCATAACTTGTGCGTTGATAAATTAAGAAATTATAAAGAAACAAAGGTTCAAACTCTCTGAGGAAAAAATGACCTTAGATGAATTTGGCTATTTTAGGTCCCTTTTGGTTATATATCTCTTCACGTGTTTTGTCTTACATCCATGGCTTTCAAATGTTTGGGTTAAAGCGTTCCTGATGTAGGTAAATCCAGAATAGCTCTTCGGATGCATGAAATTAATAAAGTGTTATTTTTATTTACCAGCACTTGTCCGATACCATTGCGTGGTGGACTGTTAGTCCAGGAGAGCATCAGTAACTTCGTAGTCACTGCGTCGGTACTGACATGATTCATAACCACTTTTCGTTGATGATTTAAGAAATAATTAAGAAAATAAACTTCCATCGTCCTCATGAAAACTTTATCTTAGAAGAACTTGGCTATATTTTAGGTCCATTTAGTCATATTACTTTTCTAGGTTTTTTTTGTCTTATACAACTTTGGCTTTTAAATATTTGGATTTGAACGTTCCTGATGAAAATAAATCCCGAAATTGTCGAACGCACGAAATTAATAAGGTGTAATTTTCATCTAACGTCAGAGTAAAATCTGTTCAGCTTTGAATTACCTGGCCAGATTGCGTCAGATAATCATCCCCACTTTTAGCGGAATAGCATTTAACCTGACAAGCTTTTTATAGAACTTAAAGTTTCGGGTTATCCTTTTGTTTAACTTTTCTATATAAGAGCAAATGACCTTATAAGTGGGCAATACCTTGGCTTACTATGCCTGACCAGAATAAACTCATCAAAGATACCTTGGTGATAATTTAGGACGCATTTCATCAATGGCACTCAAAACAAAACAGCTGGATTGTCAAATGAATTACAAATTATGTTACAATCCATATGGATAAACAATAACTGGAAAATAAAAAGTGAACCCACTTTTACCAGAGTTGATGTGAATTGGGAGTTTTCTTAATAGGTGATTTACTTAAAGAAAACAGTGAATCTTTTATTTTGCATGCATTCCGCAGACAATATAACCTTAATATCAATTTCCTGGAATACCATTGGGATTTCATTTATAGTTTCCCATTTTGTTGTACTAAAACAACAAATTTAGTATGTTCCAGTGAAACAATTTACATAGAATTCTTGCTACAAATTCATTATTGTATAAAAAATAAAAATAACACGTTATTAATTTCATGCTTCTGAAGCGCCTTTCTGGATTTACCTTCTTCATGAACGCCCAAAGCCGAATAGTTGAACGCCAAGGATGTATAAGAACCGAAAGAGTTGAAGAGAGATATAACCAAAAAGGACATAAAAAATAGCCAAATCCATCCAAGGCCAACTTTGCAATAGTGAGTTGAAAACTTAGTTTCCTTATTATTTCAAAATTTAAATTTCATAAACGGACAATATTAGAAAGGTTTGATACAAATCATGTCAATAACGAAGTACTGACTGCTGAGCTAACGATACCCTTGGGGACTGATAGTCCACAAGCAGAGACCTAATGCTGTAAAACATGAAAACAACACGTTATGAATTGCATGCGATCACCAGGAACGCTTAAAGCCAAATATTTGAAAGCCAAGAATGTATAAGAAACAGTTGAAGAGCTATATGACCAAAAAGGACCTAAAAATAACCAAATCCATCTATGAACAGTTTTATATAATGTGGGTTAAAAGAAACCAATTCATGTAGTTTCGTTAACGAAACTAAGAAAACTATAAGTCATATTTTCTGGGAATGAATCTAGTTGGTAATTTATGAATTGAAATTTCAGCATTTTTTCAACATAAATGTAATTTGACTATACCATCAAATGCAAAAAAAAACATTATTCTTGGGTCAGAGCCATGGTATGTTTCCTTAATTGTATTCACTGTTCTGGTTAAGTATTACATTTATACATGTCACTTTAATGCTTCATTGCCAGCTCTAACTGGCGCGATCAATACGTTTAAACATATATACCTACCAAATAGAAAGAATATATGACTCCTTTTACAGATCATCAAAATCAAAAGAGAAATTTGAGAGTAAATGGAAATTGATTAAAAATATAGTTTGTATGTGAGGAGAGATATCTCCTTTTACAATCACATAAGGCATTATGATAATGTATGTAGAATTAATAAGATGTTGGTGCAAATCACAATTGGACAATGGTTAGTGTACATCATTACATTGCATTGATAGTATTCTACACATATACATAACAGTTGTATTGTATTGGATTTGTTTCCCTTTGACTATGGCTGTTATTTACTCTTTCCTGCTTGACCCTTACATGTTAATGATATCTGGTAGTCTCTCTTGGTGCTTTCTATGTTCGATGATGTATTATTGAAGAGAGGCGAAAGATACCAATGGGACATTCAAACTCATAAGTCGAAAATAAACTGACAACGCCATGGCTAAAAAAGAAAAAAACCAACAGACAAACAATAGTACACAAAACCTAACATAGAAAACTAAAAACTGACAACACAAACCCCACCAACTGGGGGTGATCTCATGTGCTACAGAAGGGTAAGCAGATTCTGATTGACATGTGATACCCGTCGTGTTGCTCATGTTAGTACAAACCCGGTAATAAGTCTAATTCGGTAGGTCACATTCGGGGTAAAGAGAACGGGATTGTAGTTACGACATTTGGAACATATCCGCTATCATCTGTGAAACGGATATTCCATAACGGTCTACCCATTGGTGGCCTTCGGCTGTTGTCTGCTCTTTGGTCGGATTGTTTTCTCTTTGACATATTCCCCATTTCCATTCTCAATTTTCCTAACTCGTTATGGCGTCCGTAAAATTTACGAAGGTTCACAACTTGGAACTCTTTGTTTTAAAAGCATTCTTGTGAGCAGCAACCTTCTGTCAAGGAAATAATGATAGAAAATACAAACCCTGGAATATATATCGTATCAACTAGGAGATATATACTCCGTATGCAGGCGCTGCTGGAATGTTGCTACACAGAAATGAAAAGTTCACAATTGGGAAGCTGAAATCATCTCTTTTGTCGTAAAGTTTTGTTTTCAACCGACCCTCATTGTTAATTTCTAGATGTAAGTCAAGATATGAGGCAGACTTAAATGTATCTGTTGTATCCTTTATCTCAAGTTCGATGGGATAGATGCGTTCCATGATCAGGTTGATAACTACCATATATATATAAAAGTACCATATTTAACATTTTAGCTTTAGACTGCCTTACAAAATTCAATATTAATATTTGTATTACAGATTATGTTTATATCTATGTACCTCAATTCTTGGAGTTTGATTAAGATAAAACAAAATTAATATAAAACAAAAAAAATACAAAGATGAAGAGAACTGACACAAAAATTTAGCTAAGACCATTTTAGTCTGGTGTAAAAAAAAAACCATGATTTTAATGTTTTATGAACACTTTATTTACATAAAATGCCCGTAGCAATGATATTTTGTTTGATCACATGCTTTCCATGACACATTACCATCTTATATGGGGTAATAATTGCGCTCTTCCTTTCAGGCATAGATTATTACCCAATCATCGGATAATTCTTTGGACTATCATTCTAAATATATACGTTTAGCATTACCATTTTAGCTGGAAATACTTGTTCCAAACATAAATTTCTGATATGTATATAATTACATCATCAGCGGGCAAAACTTTCACCTCATTTTATTGATCACCAACGGTAACGCTTTGATCCGACATTCATTGTATGATCTTGTATGTGATGTAACCTGACCTGCGGGTAGCCTTATGGTCTAATAGTACCAGCGAGTGACCCTTAAGTCTGATCATCTTGATATAAGGTATAACCTTATTAAAGGGGATGCATTTAACCTTCTTTTCCTGCTACAGTGAGTAATCAACCCATTAATTTTATTCGTTTACCTACAATTCCTGATAGAGAACAATACCTTTTCAGCAGATAATCCTTTGGTCTGACAATCATTTGAAACAGCATTTAACCTTTCTTCATTTCTTGCTGCTAAAACTAATTTTACATCGAAAGTTGCCAACAACAATGCTGTTGCCTCACCAATTCCAGAACTAGCTCCTGAATATAAATTTAATTTAAATAGTTATCAATGTTCAAAATAAAAATATGTTATCAACGATTAATGTATTCTAGAAAAAAAAGGAAACAGTAATAAACTGATTTTCAAAAACTCATAAACTCGTTTTGAATATATACAAACCAAGAGAAATAACAGTAGGAAATCGCATCCACTCAAAACGGAGACCAGAATGCGTCTCAAGGGTATGATTCTCTTGTTTTGTATACGTCATTCGTCATAAGAATTAACCAATAGTGTAAGGACAGAAAATAAGACACTGTATTCTTGCCAAGACCACTCGTATGTATATGAGATGAAGAAATCGCTAAAATGTAGGCTAATTAGTGAATGGACTGCATAAAGATATCTGAACGTGAAACCAAACACCTCGGCAAGATGCTTATTTATGTCTTTGGAAAGGTTTAGTACGATTTTTTCTCTATATGAATACAAAAAACAAGTCGTTCAGTAGTACCCATCGGAATGCTGACTGATGCTACATGAACCACGGCGCTTTGCAAATATACCCCTTTATCTACATATATTTTTTGGTGTTTAATGTTTTTTTTAAGTAAATATTTCTTCATTTTCACTTGTTTAATGTGTTCTTGCTCTTACCCATACACCTGTTACAATAACAGTAGTTTTTACATGATGTCAATCTATTCACATCTTGAAGTGAAAAGTTTAGAAAAGAGTTTGCATCATGTAAAAGCCCCTGTTAAAGAAAAATTGCATGGTTAGGAGCATTAACACATTAAATAAGTTAAAACATATAGAAATATTTCCTCAAACAAAAAATATACATAGAAACAAGAGGCTCTTGAATCGCTCACCTGGAATTATTTGTGTAGATCTTGTATCAATGCTTATTTTGCTGTTTAATATAGAGTAATGCGTGTTTAAACATGCACTTTAAAGTTTCTCTCTATCTAAAATAGTTTCTGCCAAAAAAACGATAAAAATAATTAGTTAAGGGCAATAACTCTTTAATATTAGGGGTTAATTAACAATTTTGGTTATTTTACTTCTTTGTAGGTCTAACTTTTTTGTATTTTTTTTTTTTGCCAATTTAAGATTCCCTCTATCTACCATATTTTCTGTAAAAAGGTTATTTTTCTTTATCTATAATAGATTTCAAAATGATAACAAAAAAACTGAAAAATGTCATAAAAAATATCATTTCAGGTGCAATAACTCCAAATTTTCTAGAATTAAAGCTGCTGAGCATTTTTATCAGTTTTCCTGTGACTGCTTTCAATTTTGCGATATAAGCAAAAAACTGCATTTTACCCCTATGTTCTATTTTTAGAATAAAAAACACAAACTTTATCCTATATACAATAAAGATCATTTTCCCCAAAGTCTGTTTAAAATAGGTTATGTCGTTTAAGAGGAGAAGATCTTTGAAAAAGTTTACAACGACGACAATTTGCTATCATAATAAATAAAATTGCGATTCATTTCGTTTTAGACCGGAAATACACACTTTCACAGCTCGCATTTACAGTATAATTTTAGAGTTCTGTAATCAGTGTGTAATAGTCATATTGAATCGAAATTTTAGTTATTAATTTATTTCATCAGAGTAATAGTTCAACACAGCAGTTTTAATATTCAATACTTTATGTTTTACCTGTAATAATCACAACTTTGTCCTTAATTGAAGTCATTCTGTCTAGAAATAAACAAACACTGTATTGAATAAGATAAGATAAGATAAGATAAGATATAATTTATTATCAATTAAGGGCCCACAAGGGGCATATAAAGAATACATGTATAAGGAAAAAGAAAATTGATTAGCATAGATACATATAATTTAAATACACAATTACAATACAATATTAGACTGTAAAAAGCCCTTGGTTTAAAGTATATAATATATTTATATGAGAAATAAATACATCTAACTCATATTGACTTGAATAAATTTTCCAACAGCATTAAGTACCTGATTGTCTTCACAGCTCAATAAATATCTGAATTTTGCTTATTGTCCAGTAAAGCAAAGTTAGGCATTTTATGGCAAACAAAGTCAGAGAAAGCATCTCTATCAGAGTTAAATGCGCAGATATACATTATTTACAAATAGCTCTTCTAAAATCAAAGTTCTTAACCAAACAGAGATAATTTTCATAGCCAAAATTTTGTTTAAATTTCAAATAATTGAACAATTTTCCATCAGAAGCATTTTTTTTTTGGCTAACATATCATGGTTTATATATTCAGTGTGAATTAATTTGTTAGATATATTTAAAAATATATATTGTCCAAAATGTTTTACTTCTAGTTTAATTACAAAAACTTCTAATAATTTCTTAACAAATGAGAACCAAGAAGTTATGTTACATTTGTGAAGCTCTTGGCTGCATTTGTAGGCGTCTTTCAACAGACTGAATTCAGGCTGAAGATTTTCAAATCTAAACCAGTATTTAACAATTGACTTTACAATATCATAATGTAGGGAGAAACGACCCAGTTCTGATAATACAGCAAAATTTACACTTTTGTGTACACAAGTATAAATTTTGAGAACTTGAGATGAAGTTTCTCACACTGAAGATTTTTATAAATATTTTCAAGATTAAATAAGAAGGATTGTAATTTATAATAAGAAACATTATAACCTCCCTATACCTCTGAATTATATAACAGAATGGGTTTAAGGGTATGATAAAAAAAAGTACAATTGATTTTATTCCCGGAGACAAATTTAAAAAATCCTTTCTTAGTTTATAATAGGCCTTAATTACGAGCCTTATTATATAGTTCAGTTTTAGCTAGATGAAATCAAATTAGCTTAACATTTACATCATTTCATAAATACAATTTGACTGCGTTATCCATGTTTTAATTACAGTAACAATAGCCATATTGAATTGACACAGTGGCATCATCAAATAAAATAGTTATAGTAGTCAATACACAAGAAGGATGATTGTGGTCCTTTAATTAAGTAGTTTCATTTGACAAGATTTTAAAAAATGTTTTATAATGGACAGATAACAAACACCAGGTGATAAAATATATATAAAAAAACACATACTTATAAGCCCTTTTGGTCATGTGGGCTAAAAATAACGAATATGGTTACATTTAAAATGATGGTGTATGTTTAAGTCGTTTATCAAAACATGAAAAAGCACACTGCAAAATCCGAAATAAAAAAGAAATGTCAATCATTTAAGTGTCTGTAACTGTAAAATCCTATATATGTTAAGTGCTATATTTGTATGACATTATGCTTTATTGTGTCTGTCAATTTCATGCCTTCTATCTTGAATTAATAAATATTAACACGACTGGAAACTTTATAAAAAACTAGAGCAAAATAGACCAAAAATAAACTTCTCCAACCATTTTAATATAATCATTACTGATGTATGAATAACATGGAAATATCTGGAACACCTTTTCCTCTGGTCAAACACATTTCACTCGATCGATACATTACCGAATGTTTACTTGCAATGATTAACACGGCGAGTGCTACTAATGGAACCGGAACTACTAACCATTCTGGAGCACCTGAGTTCACCCCTGGTGTTTGGTGGGGTATGTGTTTCTAAACCTATAGTTTTTTCTGTTTAGGGTTTTGTGGACTGCTGTTTGTCTTTTCGTCGTTTTTCTTTTGATAAATGTTCTGTCTGTTTTGTTGAACTTATGGTTTATGATTGCCTTGTATCTTCTCATTCCAGACATTATTTCATTGCATTGTTAATTGAGTAATTCGAAACGATTTGTTGCAAAAATAAATACAAAATTATTTTTTGGTTTCCATTCAATAGTTAAACGATCATTAGGGAATCCTTCACCGACTTAGTACAGATAATTACTGTCCAAACATGAAAAAAAACCATTGATTCTACATATAATGCATACAATATTAGAATAATGTTGTCTTCATTAAAGTTTCTTTGCACCGCACACTATTTTCATCTTTACCTGGACATGAGTTCAATGAACTTAATGCGAACGGTAGAAACTTTTTATTGGATCGGTGAAACAGAAAATTTCGAAATTTGAACCCAATGTCATTAATAATAAAAAGTTTTTTCAACAATAAATATAAGAACAGAGTTCTAATGTCCCCTGCGTTGCACTTATTTTATTTGTCTACTGTCCAAGTCAATAGCTTAAAAACAAAATTTTTGTTCGTTCTTTAAATTTTTTTATAACTATCTTAGAGAAATGAATGCCTCAGAACAACTGCAATGCAATTTCCGATATAATTAATATTTTCAAGGGCATAACTCTTCTCAAAATATCTGAATGGCCCGATTTTCGAAATTGTCCAAGACATTGCTGATATAAATCTTTGATATAAATTTTGATAAAAATCTAGCAAAAATTGTACACATGAGAGCACTTACAATGTAATTTTTCAAATGATTAATTTTTCCAAGGAACATTGACTCTTTCAAAAATAATAGATCGATACCGATTTTCGCACTTGTTCGAGACATTGCTGATATAAACCTATGATAAAAGTTTCATAAAATCTGGCAAGAATTGTACACATGAGAGCGTTAACAATGGAATTTTCGATATAAATAATATTCCAAGGGGCATAACTCTTTAAAAAAATGAAGATCGGCACTGATTATCGAGCTTGTCCGGGCTTTGTCCAGATATGCTTGACACATTAATTATGCTACCTGTTAAAAGAGAAAGTCAAAAACTGCTGATATAAACCCATGATATAAGTTTTTAAAGAATTTTGAAAGAATTGAACACGTGAGAGCGCTAACAAGACCGGACGAACAGACGCACACCCGATATTTCAATGTCCCCCGCAAAGCGCTGCGCGGGAGACAATAAATTCAGAAATAATTCAAAAGATGTAAGTTGATAACTATATGTAAATGAATGAAATGTGCAGATCATATATACCATAAACAAGAACGCCTTTTTTAAGTGTGATACGAGTTAATTTACTTACTTCACTAAATTAACTCTAACTTTGTGGGTCGCAAGATCTGAAAAAAGAATAATTCAAAAAAAAATAAGAGGAAACAGCAATGAGTCGATATTTTCGATGTTGATTTAAAAAAAAAGGATGAAAAGGTTTATTCACATCAAACAATCACATACTATTACACGAGTTTTTTTTCTTAAACGGCCCTGATATAAGCTCGAGACACCTATTTGAAGTATAAAAGCTTTATTTCGCATGCAACCATGGACGATATTGAAATTGACATTTACTGATTTAGTCATTATATTTTTTTTAACTATCTAACCCTTGGCTAGCGAAGATGTTATTATAATTGTCTGTCCCTCTCTGGTTGCAACCAAATTAATTTATTCTTATCCGCTGATTATTTTTTTTTTATCCTTAACATATAAATAAATCGACGCAAGGATATTTATTTTGTAAACTGATTTGCACATTAAAATGAATCAACTCAATTCCTATAGTTCCGTTGCATTATAAGAGGAGCAGCATATAGAAGATGCGCACATTTAAGCATCAATGGTTAGTATTATGGTAGTATTCTATCAAGGACTAGTAGTTATCAGCACTCAAATTTCAGGGTCAATAATTTAGTAATCAGTCGTTCAAAATGCAGAAAAAAATAAGCATGTTATAGTTTACTAAGCCAGAATCAATGTCTAAGAAAATACTATGGAATGAGCCAAAACTAACTTTTCGGGGTATTTTATAGCTGACTATGCGGTATGGGTTTTTCTAATTCTTGAAGACCGTACGATGACCTATAGCTATTAATTCCTATGTCATTTGGTCTCTGGAGGAGAGTTGTCTCATTGGCAATTGTACCATATCTTCTTATTTTTATAGATATTTTTCTTTCAATTTTAAAAGGCAAAATAACACACGAAGCTGATAATTGAAGCCGTTTAATATTGCAATTAGTCATGACGAAGCGTTTTTTTTAGAGCATGGAAAGTCACTTCTGAAAGCAAATAGATGTTAAGGAATGTAACAGTAAAGAAAAGCAAACAGATACTATCAACTACTACAAACCTAAGGCTAAACACTTAGTGAACATGTCCAGCGCTGCTTTGGACATACAGTAAGCTGGACAGACTCCAATCTACAATAAGCAAAATAAAATCTAAATCATAATGTTTGTTATTCATTCATTCTAAAATAAGATGTGGTATAATGTATGTATGCTTTAATCATTATTATAAAATCTAGAGTGAGAGGAGCAGAACGCAAAATCAAACAGCTAGCAAACCGACAGACGATAATCTTATAAATATATTTACGTAATATTGAAGCAAAGTCAAGTTAATGTAATTGTTCTTCATAAAAGGAAAACTTACAATTTGCCAAATATCAATAGTTATTCTAAAAAATACCAAAATTATTTATCTTTGTAGTTTCCGTTATCTCAAGTGTGTAGCTCGTTGTAAAAATATGCTTATGTTTATTAAGTTCTAAAACTCACCGGTCTTTGTCCAGATATACTAGACACATTAACTATGCTAACTTATTTTGCAAACATGTTGTGAATTAGAGAAGACATCAGATAAAACAGTAGATTAAGACAAAAATGAAAAAGATATCTACATCAACAGACAGGTGTCTATACAATAAGTAAAGTTCAAGATAGCCCCGAGTCTAAAAAGTTGTGAAATGGAAAAAAATAACTAGATACTATCAAAGATCTGTCATCATCACCAAAACATAAAGATATAACAAAAGACAACCACTGAC